CGCTTAGCTTACCTGCTATGCCACCAGTAGGAGGCACGTGGGCTGGGATACTGCCAGGTTACCCAAACTTAGATAGGCGAAGTCAAAGAGATCGGGTGGGATACTGCCAGGTTACCCAAACTTAGATAGGCGAAGTCAAGAGACAGAGATCGGGTTCAACCCATGAACCTTTCGGTCAGTAAATCCGCGCTCCAACCACTGAGCCATCAAAAACAGCTTAAGGGAATGAATTGCCGCTCCGTCTTTATCGCATATCGTTTCACTGACATGTCTCCTGTTGACCGGTTGATCGAATCAGCTGAAATAAGGTGCGGCCGTTACCTGCAGCTTCTCCATCTCCTGGGCCTTCGAAATCCACCAGCATTCTCTGCCATTCTTCAAGCTCCCGATTATCCGCTGTTTGAGAGACCTGCCTGCGCCATCATAGCTGCTAGCTGCGGATATGGCCTTTCTGGTAGCAATAGGATCTGCATATCTCGATGATATCTAGTGTTCATTTAGTCCAGCCAGATGGCCTACACAAACAGTTCTGGAAGCTGACAGCACAGTTTCGTTAACTCTTCCCCATTCAGCATCCAAGCAATCTTCGTTATGCACACGACAGTGCGTTTTTAGTAGCATTCTAGCCAGATCAGGTGGGTAACTTCGGGATATTGAAAGTTGTCGAAGTCGGTGAACGGAGCTGTTCTTCTTTGGCACACGCAATGCTGACGTGAAGCGGAGAGATAACCGGGCCTGCATGATGGGATTATCAGAGTCAATTTTCATACCCCAGAAGGAACCCCCACAGGTCCAATTGAGTCTACGACTATCTTGTGCTAAGTTGCCTTCAAGTAGTTGGATGTGAGCGTTTTTGTTGGTAGTTTTATCGTCCAGTAACAGACGATGATCTGCACACACCTGAAGAAGCCGCTCATTATCCGTACGAGGATATCATATGATATCATACGATGATTGCTATACCTGTCGTTCTTGCTGACCGAAGCAGTTTTGACAGATATTGATAAAACTCGTCCTTCTCAGTCTCAGGACTGCAGTCTGTTGAAGCTCGTACTGATACAAACAAACGCCGTATGTTGCATCGTCCTACGTTTATCTTAATTGAGCCAGAAAACCGCACAGCGCAGAGAGGGCCGCTTACTGCGATCCAGTCCTGTAGGCGCTTTCAGCCTTGGGGCTGAGTGCAATTCACACCTTATATACATTGAGCTATTTCTTTAGGATTACCGGATACGCGAAGAGTGAAATATGGAATATCTGGGCTCATCGGAAGTAGCTTGAAGAGCATGACCGAAGTGGGATCTCGTATGCGTGTTTTGGAGACACGACATACATCGATGGAAAGGGAAACCAAAGTTTTAGCAAGGGCTGCTTTTTGCCCAATTTGACCTAGAGTACGGGCCCTAAAGGCTGATCAGATCTTTTGAGGTGAGCTAGTGACTTATTTGACTTATTATTCTGGGCGAAGTTCCTTACACAGAATGGTGGCTAGGAGAGTGGCAGTTGGGTTGATCGCATTGCATTGTTTGATGGGAGTTTGAGAGAAGACCGGTAACCGAAGAGCCGCAACTGCGAGTGATACTTCCCGGTTGCCCAGGCCAAAGAAATGGAGTTTTGGTTGAGATACCTCACCTTGAGCCTTTGACTCAAAATTATGACACACAAGACGGTGGAAAGTCTAGGGTTTTGTTCAGGGACCCTTCTCCTAGAGGTCCAAACCACGAGAGTTAAGTTTCTTTCGGGGGACCCTTCCCAGAGTGAGACTCATCGGTATGGCCCATTTGGCCGAAGGAAAACGGTCTGACCCGAGGGTACAGGAAGTAATTTATTACTGTCTCATTTATACTGCGTGTGCGCATAATAGGTGCCTTTTAGGCGGCACCGGACTCCTTGGTTTTAAAGTATTTCCATTATACTGAATAATACGCTGACTGTCACAGTCAATCGATGGGCAATCGGAGTGTGCTTTTTTCGGACCGACCTCTACCCATCCTTCCTCGGGTGAAGGCAGCATGTCTGCTTCCATGAATATGAGCATGTTAGTTGCTTGGAGGAAAGGTCTTACTGATCTCACACTCATATCGCAGAGGACAGTACGAATGCACTTCCAGACCCCCTCGTAATACGATTACTCGCAGTATGATGACTCGCTCTTCGTCGCGATGCTCACCGTTGGCCATCTGATATCATTGAGCATGCAGGAACTGCGTTCCATCCAGAATAGCCAGTTGTGCCCTCAGTAAAAACATCGGTGCATGCACAGTGGATATATTAAACCAAACTCATTGACATTCTGGGACTCATTAGGTGGGTGCACTTACCGAGTTTTCGTCTCTTCGAACACCACCCTGTTCGTATCCGGTGGAATGCACTCACCTGCGTAGTAAGTTGGTGGTAACGAGAGACTCAGCTAAATCCCAGCTGATTCGCTCGTTTATGGTGCTCTCCAAGTGAGTTGATGGAGAGGGGCCAGCCGATGTTTCACTTGGTACTATATTCCTGAAAGTATACTACGATATCTCGAATAATGTACCAGATGAAACATGAGAGGCACTGTAATATTCATTGATGAATACTACGGATGACAAATTCAGCTTGGATTCAGTTAAGCCCCTCAACGACCCTAACTGGCTTTCTATAGGAGGCTGTTTCGTTCGAAATTCGATGTGCTTGTGAAGATACTGAGCACGCAATTCAAACGGAAGGAAGAACATCACTGGAATGAACGTGAACCTACACAAGAGGCAAGCGCAGTGTCAGATGATGTAGTGCAGACACCAGTCAATGTCACACGTATGCGCGTCGATTCCGAAGATGCGCCCAACATCTGGTGGGGTGACGGCTAACGTCCGTCATTACCGTAAATAGGTCTTCTAGTGAATTCCACATACGGCATCATGTCGAAACCACACAACGTACCGGGGTCTGGTTTGTGTTGATGTGGAAGAAATAGATATTAAGCTATAAACATAACGCAGACCAACAAGTGGGCAGTTCAGGGCCAGCTGCGGATCCGTGGCATCGTAATTATCGAACAGCTGGTCTGCCAGCTGAGCTGCTGAGGATGTGGATTCACTTAAGGACTTTTCTGTTCCCTTTCTGCAGTGGTATTCACGTTCCTGAATGAGGTTTCCGTTTTCTTTTTGCCAGTTAGCAGGTTGGCTGACGCTGACATAAGATAAACGTTTTTTTCATGTCAAAATCTGTGGCTTTCATAGGTTGTTGTTTTCTGTTCAGCGGCCTTCTTATAGAGCATTCAAAGAATTAAAGTGGGAGTAATCTTCACATCTAGGAGCGGTTTTCATTGGCCCTGGCTTTTGAACACTAAATACCCTGGTGTTGAGAATTCTACCTCCGCCAAAGGGAATGCTGTAGACTTAACTACAGTGTATGTTGGTCAACTGCTCCAGGCAGGCGGAAATTGCTTGAGTACATCGCATCTATTTGTTCTACCAGCCAGGCAAACAATCTTAGGTTTGCAACACACTGGTATCGATAGTGACCGCTGCGTGAACAGGTTATCATTAAGTGACATAGTTTCGCCAGGTCACACAAAACCATGGGCCCCGATCTGAGAATTCTGCTCACAGGTGAGATGTTTTTCTGGCAATGTTTATTCTCTCAAAGGTGACTTGGTACTTATCAGAACCACAGAATTTTCTATCTTTTCATACTTCCTCAATACAGTTAACGAAATATAACTTAGAGTTCGATATTTTGGTCTAGTTACTGAGCTCAGCTCATAGGAAACTGATAAACATTGGCATAAAACAGCGGGTTTTCTCAACTTTGATATGGCACACACTAGTACAAACTCAATACCAAGTAAGCCGTGCAACTCTACTAGTTGCACCATCATTCTGAGTTTGAATTAGCGGCTTTATACGTGATGACACCAGGATACTATGGACCAGTGCGCCTGAACGTACCAAACCGTCGGGATAGTCAGCACATCCAATCCATTCGATTGTTCCGGTCCGACTGTTCTTGGCGGATAAAAAGTGAAAAAAAATTCGATATCACAAAATGATCAAACAATGGAAACAGTAACTCTGGTTACGTGTGTAGGATTGTTTCAGGTTTTTTGTAGGAAGGAGGCCAAGACAGTCTGCAGAAAAAACTAGCCACAGTGGACAGCGATTTTAATAGGTATGATAGATGACGGTCTCACCAAGGACAATTATCAATTTTCGGAAGTATCCGAATTTCTGTTACATTTTGGAAAGAAATTTTTTATTAGCTAATCGCCAGCACAATCCACTTCCAAAATTGTCTTTAAAAACTTCTACCCGATAGGTATGTCACTACGTGAGTAAATTTGCACCCCTGAATAGACGAGGCAAAGCACGAATCATGTTGGGGCATCTGGTATCTGTCTTTGAATTTAAAGTTCAAATAGTGCAACCTCAATCATATACGTGGTTGATGCAACCCACCTGTCAACGGCGAAAGCAGTCTATTCCATTAGAAATAATTGTAATTCAAGTGCAACTTCCACATTTGTTTCCTTTGGCGATGGATTGTGTGTACCTTGATTTCAATTCCTTCACTGTTTATATATTTTGACTTTGTTTACGCAGTTTCCTCTAATATAAACGCCACTATCTTACTTTCGGTGGAACTCGGCGATCATTGCGAGGCTATACTTCTTTAATTAAATTTTGCTGTCTTCAGGGTGATATGAGTTTTGTGGACAGTAGTATGTCAGTGAGCTGCTTGCGTGTCTGTAAGAATTATGGGTTGACTAAATGATGAATGTAAGCAAAGGAACGGCCATGCATAATGAACAAACGCAGTTTCATAGTTGGGATACCACACACTGTGAGCGATGTTGTTGAGCTTTCAAAGGCTGAATTTACACAGGAGATTTCCACACAGGAGATTTGATTGGTGACTGAACTTCAGAGACATCTGAATACTTTTCACAGTTCTGGTAGGTGTGCTTCGTTGACTGTGCGGTTCTCGTGAATTTGTCTGTTTCTGAGCCAATTATTTTTTACATTTCTCCTTAAATTTTAACTAAGTTGTAACTAATAGGTTCGCTGGGCCTTAGAGTACGCAGCGAGTTGTCCGCGGCACGCTTGACATAGTTCATTGTATCATGTTGCACTTTTCCACACACCCTTTTCTTATGCATGATCTGTGTGTTGCCGCAACTCCAGTGAGGTTAGCCTGAATAGGAGAGGTGACTTTTCATTGACTGCTTCTTCTCCATGGTATCTCCGAACTTTTTCACTCTTGTTTCAGCGCTAACATTCACGAAACACGAATCGCAATTCACCGAATATCAAACAGTCACCAAATTCTCCACATCAAACAGATTACGCCTTATCGTGCATCAGTTCGGCGCCGTGTGTAACCTTGGAGTCGAGCAACAATATAATTTTTATTCGAAACATGGCTTTCGCTTGTCTTGTCGCAGCTTGACTGCGTGACTATGAACCAAGGCTACTTCAGTGGCATTTAGTTCTCCCCACCTGATAACATTCGTTGAAAACCTAGATTTTTGACTCAGCTACGAATTGAGGATGTCCTTTGTATGTGCGATACACAGACCTATCAGAGATGCTAATCCGACCATTTACTCCTAAAATTGCGAAACTAAAACGTTGGCTGACCCTAATCTCTGGTCTAATATCTCTTTGATCCACCCAGTAGAACAGCAAAACTTTGTCTAGAGAACGAAAAGGTAGAACGAAAAGTGATAACACGTAGTAAGACAGCAAAAAGATGGCGAACCGTGCAGCCAATTAGATTTTATAAGGTACACATTTTTAACGTAGCAAGCTGAATTTTGTCCGTACATGTAAAGTGTACGGTACCAACAGATACACCGTGTCAGCAATAATCATAGAAACGAGTTGGCTTTTACACACCAGATGCATAAACAAAAACCATATTTTGTGAATTATTCGTGTATGTTTTCCTTTACACTGTGCACTGAAATTCAGTCCTCTGATGTGCGAAAAGGGCCTAATACAGCCACACCAACGCAAGCGAATAACAATATGTTCGCCTTTAAGCAATACGTGTAGTTTGCCTGATACCAAAACTACCTACCGATCCTCCAGAATGCACAATAGGAAGACATTTCAACAGAGAATGTAACGTGGCAACCTCAAAACCTTGTGTGTATGAAACACTTGCATCTAAAAATCACAGCATACGAAACGTTTTTTTCGGTCACAGCTCGAACCATATGACTCCAAAACGTTGTTAGTGGTTTGCACTAATACATGTCTTCGCTTTCGAAAACCTGACAATAATGAGTTAAATCCGTCAGTCCGGGAGTTTGACTATTAAATATTGTTTTTAGCGACCTATCCAGTTTGTACCATTGAGCTTGATGCTTAATGACTTTGAGCGGAACGTGCGCGTAAGACTAAAATTTCATGTTACGTTTCGTTTAAAAATGGTGCTTTCTGGTTAAATGGGTAGAGTACCAGGCCGTCTTGGGCATTACTTAGGATTGCGGATGCAGTGGGAACATTTGGCGAACACCTGTCAAGTACACACAGCTCTTATGTCCTGTTTACTTCTGGCAATTGGACAACCCATTTTAGTTTGTATCTGTCGATTAATAGTGATGCTAGAACGTCCATCACAAGAGATAAACAAGCAGTAGTAAATAACCTATCTGACTGATGTGCTGCATACTCGAATACAACTGCTCGTATTCTTCTAATTTCCGGAATTCGAGCATTGTAATTATCGTTAAAAAGTTTAGTGTTGTTCTTTAGAATGACACCCATCTTCTGTTACTTGTACGAAATGGGACCGAACTTCTCTCAAAACTGAATAAAAGCTTACAAAATCTGTTACCATTGGATTTAACTAAATAGTGAAAATCACAAACTTTCTAGTAAACGTTCGCATCCTACTCAGTGCTTGTTGAAACAGTTACGCACAGTGGTTCTAAAGTTCGGTTGACCCCGAGAGCAGTCGACTAGATACTGTTGCGTACATGTGTGAAATTTGACACCCCCCGGCCGAGGGAGAAGTCAAAAGTATAGGGACACCGAGCTGTTGTTTTTCGGTCAACACAGCTTATCACCAGGGTCAAATGTGCATCTGAAACTGCGATTTATCAATGGAAAAACAACATGGAGTGGAAATATTTGCCACTAAGAGTAAAAAATATAGGTTTCCCGTCCTTAAATACCACTTGAAACTAGTGATGGTCAGTTGGTGACTGTAGCATAAAAATAGACACACGAAATTCATAGAAAAGCTAATCGCCCATGCTTTTATCAGTTAAAAGGCCATTACCATACTAAAAAGCTTAGCTAGGACATTAGGCGGAGTTCCTGTTGCGCAAAGGACCTTTATCACGACTGAATATTCTGATGAATGCACAGGTTTTCGCCTGTAATTTGAACAAATGCAAAATTAACTTGCATGAAACTTGTTGTAGTAAGCATAGTCTTAGACAAACACTCATTTAAAATTCAATCGCGACTGCAACTGACAGTGGATGTTTTCAAATGAATGAACTCAGTGTTTTTTTCTCAGGGGAGAATTTCTGTACGACTAGATAAAGGCTTCAAAGCGAAAGTTACAAAAAAGATAGAAGATTCGTTTAAGATAACAGGACGGTCGGTCCCGTATGGGGGGCGAAAAGAGATGCACATGATCGGGAGGATAAAAAGACTGAGAGTAATCCAAAACACACATCCAAGTTCGATTAGCGTCTGTTGGTGGAGTGGATATTCTTTCATATAAGGGCACATACATAGACACGTAGGCAAATCCTTTGCAGAAATCGACCCAAAACTGCAGTACTTTTCAAGGGAAATCAGTAGCTTTCTGGCAGGTTGTATTCATCTTGTGAATTGGATGACGTTATAGTTCGCAGAAAAGACTGTTTGATGAGGGTCAATAATCCGTGACAGATTTCAGTCGCATTTTCAGAAAAATCATAAAGGTGCGGTGCGCATTCCGATTAATTACCTGATTAGATCCAAGTGAATAACTTCGCGCTGATGGCGGGTTCCGTCTCGTTGATTACAGAAATGACTGGGTGGGAAGATTTTTGGAATTGACTTAACTGCATCTTATTTAAGGTTGTAAGGTTGTGAACGCGATCACAATCACTAATTTAGTTTTGAGGCTTTACTCACTTGCAAGTAGTTCGATGAGATCTTTCTATAGTACGTTGGTGTCCACATTTATTTTGACTGGGCTCTCAATGTGCTTTGAAACGAACTAGGATGCTACAAAAGTACGGGCATCCTCAGACGGCTACCTTTGATCCCACAGTGTTCAACGTGTACTCAATGATACATGCAGTTTATTGCTTAACGTTTAATGAGCATATTAGTTTTAGCATAGATTCATTACGGTGTGTGGGAACTATCTTTTGACTACTACTGGGGTGGAGCTAATGATGAATATATTGCCAATTATATTTATCAGACTGAATGACAACTATACAAAGAAAATCTGTCCCAAAAAATAGAGAGAGTGAAAGGTAACTTTCCTGTAGCTGGGGAGATCAGAACGGTCCAAATCCATTGTGTTATAGACTGCTATTCCAAACAATTTGTTCTCAATTAGAAATCAATTATTTGACTGTTTTTTCACAAGTACTTTGTTCAGAGCAAACTGTGTTTATTTTACAAGTTACTATCTTCAGTTAGCTGCAACTCCAAAAACGTGTGGGGCCGTTGCCTCTCCAATCAGAAGAATGAACCTTGCTGCCCTCCCTAAGCTTGAACAAGCTATGATTTCATTTCAGGAAAGGTAAGGCCCTTGAAATTAATGTAAAACTACAAACTAAGTGGAAGAGGACAGCAAATACAATTGATAATTCACTGAGAAAGTGGTTATTCACCATGCTTTTTCGAATGCGAGGTTATGCAGGGATTTTGTGGAGTCCAAAACCAGGACCTCGCTCACCCATTTCGCTTTTCATCAGGCAAGAGGCAAGCCATGCATATCATCGAAACTTTAAGGCTGACGATCGCCTTCGCTAGTAGTTTTTATCCCGTTTCTTTGCACTGGTTCCGAGAAGCAGACATGCTAGTAAAGTCGGTAGCACATAAATCGTGGTACATACTATTTTTTTCAACTTACCTCAACACATTCACTATGAACGTTCTACCACACGTGATTGGTGCGACCAGGTTACGACTGAATAAGCTACCGATTGGGTGAATTCTCCCCCATTTGATTTTCTCAACTTGCATTTTTATGCCTTGTGAAAATGAGCTAAAAACGGAGAGAGTTGGAAATGTTAAGAATAACTGAGTCTCTGCTCACGGTGATCGTAGATCAGTCAATTGGTAGAAGGAATTAACACCAGGAAAATAACATCTTAGTCTCAGTAATTCTTCCAATTAGCCTAAGCGCAAAAACAGGTAGTCAAAAGAGTACGTTTTGAAGTCTCCCATTCATGACCTCAAGGCTGTCGGATATTTAGACCCATCAGTCTTCACTCATCGAAGCCAGTAGCGCAAAGTCGCCTTTTACTATGTCTCATGGAATGCTGATGAAGTGGTTCTAAACAATCAGACGCACGTCCGTTATAGTCATACGTGGTATGAGAAGTCTCGCATTTTAAGGAATCAACAAACGCAATTTTTGATCCGAAGATCTGAATTCCAGAAGCTTAGGAGGATACATATATTCTGGCTGCTAGATGCAGAATGCACTGATGATACTTCAAGAATGCGACAAAGTATACGAAATAGCAGTTAGCAGCAGTAAATTTATAAAGATCTCGTGCATGCCATTAGTTTCGGTCTGCTGAATCGTCTTGACTGTTTTGTTATCTAGATCACTGATCTTTGAAGGTTGCTTTTTATTGCACCCGAATCACGATCCACTTCTTCAAAGGTGCATACCTTTGAGGTATGACTTGATTTCACTTGCGTGGATCATATACACATGGGAAGATCCATTCAGTTAATAACTTATTGGCGCTGATCTGCATCATTTCAGGCATAATAAGAAAGTCTTGTAGTAAAATTTTTCTAAGTCAGACTGTATTGGCTACAATCCCCTGTACATATTGGTAAAAATAATGGAAAAAGAACGAGAGCGACGATTTCTTTATGAGAAAGGTTTCCAATCAACCAGAATGATCTTCAGCTAAAACAACAACACTTTAAATTAAATGAAATCAAGACTAATCCGGAACGCATAAATATGAAAAGCGGACCCACGGAAGAATTGAAAAATTCACTTCTTGATTACAGTCTTCCATAATTTGCAAGTCACTGATTGGCCTGCCATTTCGTCTCAGCTTCGTGGAAAAAAGAACGGTAATTACGAGGAACGATGTATATCACAAAGGTAATTAGTTTACTGAAACGAAAATGTCCGTGTTTTTATACACGAAATCAGAAAAACACACAGAAACACCCTATTTTTTGTACCAAATCTTCGCTCACATCTGGCATTTCGGTCCTCCTTGGCCGTTAATTGCTAATGATGATATCGCCGGACTTAATAGTCTGAAAATATCTTTTCTATCTACCTGTACGACCATTTATCCAACCCATTTAAATGTATGAATGCAACAATTTTTCAAGCACCCTGTAGAACGTAGAGACCACTACAAAAAGAGTTTCGTACCCTTGTTAACATTAGGTCTACACTGGTACCCACAATGGATGAGACTGGTCACTACCCCTAGGTATGAAGCGATATCAAACTTGCTAAGGGGGAGATTGAGCTTCGGTGTTAGTTTCACTGCCTCAACGCAGTTTCTGAAAAATCTGAAAGGTATGCCGTTTGGATACACAGTCTTCAACAAGTGTTTTACTACTTTTATTTGGACATTGCGTGTGGGCGGCCACGTTCATTCCGTTTTGGTGAACATCAGTTTGCCTATAAGCCCACCATGAAGCCACTATTAGGGCTGGTTGGATATTGCCCTTTTAGAGTATTTCCTTCATCAGACAACAGCTAAATTTTGCTACTATCCTTTAAAGTGCTGATTGCCCAGTGTGCCAGGTGTGCCTGTGCTACGCTGCTCCTGACGTATGACCTTTTACTGGAATTCTGTTTGTCTTGTTAGGTGCCATAAGTACCATGGAAATAACCAATCAGACACTGCAGTGGAAACGTAACGGGACATTACAGAAATGTCCAAGGTAATGATAGAAATAGAGCCGTTCTGTGATCACATATCAACTTCGCGGTCATTTTTATTGCTAACGTGATTCACATCACATTCAAATCTAGTAAGCTAGTATTCGGTTGCATTTTACTAAAATTCGAATAACCAACACGTCAAGATTTGGGTTTCCAAAGTCTCAAAATTGGACCTCAGTGCCAGTTGGAAAGCTGCGCAGAAGAGTAAATGTCTCAAAAAAGTCGTTCAGCTGTAGCACCCTTTCGGTGTTTAACTACCATGCCACCAGAAAGAGGCGCGAGGGCTTGGATGCTGCCAGGTTGTCCAAGCCTAGACAGGGGAAGTCGAAAGGCGGAGGTTGGGTTTCAAATAACGAACGCTCCGGTCAGTAAATTCACGCTCTAACCACTGAGCAATCTCGCCAGTATCTCACGCAAAGATATTTGTGATAGAGTTGAGCACCTTCCTAGACCAGTCATTTCGCATGCTTTTAATTGTTTTCTCCCTGTTATGCCCAACAGTGCAGTTTCGGCTTCCCTCGACTTCCACATTTCATCAGTGCTTTCCAAGATTTTCAATTCTGACACCCTACTCGTACTAGACACCCGACCCAATAATGACATACTCAGCTTGTCCATCGGGATGTTAAACATCCAATCACAATCTGGTTAGCACCTTAATCCAAAATCCATACCTTTGAATTTTATTGCCACTAAGACAAGCGGCCGCGGTGTCATCTTGGTCCAGCAGTGTTTGAAAATCCCACGAGTCTACATCTGGAATTGTCTTGGAAAAGCACGTTGGTTTTTGATTTCGTAAAGTTTGGACTGGAGAAGCAAAATAATCTGAGCGACACTGTGCTACACTGTAGCAAAAAACGTTTGCACATTCAGGCTGTCCTCAGGGTCGAATAATAGCAAGTCAGTGAAACAACTGAAGATTAGAGTGGACTTATGGTATGGAACGTGGGCTATGTCTGCTGAAAATGGCCAAAGAAGTGAGTCTGACGATCACCCGAAGGAAATAAATAAAAGTTAACTTTTTCGCAGTTGACCTCTTCTGAGACGGAGTTTATCACTAAAGTATACTCCAAGGAACGGACTCAAAGGGGCGTTATTTGGGCATGACTTTTCGTAAGACCCTGGACTAAGGAAACTGACTGAGGTTCGCTTCACTGTCAACAGGGATGTGCAGATCGCGTGAACTGGATGACCAATAAATGCAACATAAAACCGCACATCTGTGCTCATTTAAAAAAATCGAGCTTGAACTGAAATACAATCGAATTCTTACCACTAGGAGGACTTAAGCTACTTCGTCCAGGGTCCTGCTAGTTTCATATGATATCTCTAAGCATTTTGCGGATTGTGCAAGATAGTGGGTAAACTGCGAGATCACATAGTGATAGCATCCAAGGGTTCATTATGCTCTTTAGGGTACTTCTTTCAGCGTGTGTTATAGATTGGTAACTATGAGGAAAAAGCCTGCACAAACTGAACCGTTCTACTGAAACAGCATCCCACTGGAATGTTGCCGCATGATAGAACCAGTTATTCGCCTGAAGACAACTACTCTCTCACAGCAAATATATTTGTGCTATCAAAAATTTGAACAATTCACTGATTACGACCTGAAATGTTTTTCCAGAAACCTGGCAAGTTCTGAACTGAGGCGATCTAATAAAAAATGAAATACAGACAGCTTTTATTTTGTCCATTTCATTCGTCTGGTTCACAAGATGTTCCCAGTCAAATTAGTTTGCATTCGATTTAATGTCTCCTAAATGAACACTTTACCATGTAAATGTACTTTCTCAATAATCCACCAAAAGAAATGGCTACCTGTTTTTTCAGTGAATCACCCAACTGCATGTCTAGCTGGCATTTACTTGTTACACAAGTTGCCATGGCAACCGAAAAGCTCTTTTGCATGATTTAATTCAGTCATTCGTTTTTCGTCCATCAAATCAGGAGAAATTTGAGGGTAGCAAGTGCCGTCGCAATGAGCCCGAAATGGATCATATCCCTAGTATTTGACCAGAGAGTTTCGATCTCTAGTATTAGGAAAAGAATTCCCTTATGTTTTGGAAAATTTGATTGAAGAGAAAATTATTCCAAATCATGTACCGACGTAGGACTAGAAAGTATGAAAACTTTTCTTCTTTTTTTTCTGTCGTGCTGCTTCCTGCCGTATTCAGAGTGCGTGTTTGACAGTTTCGATTAACTCAACGTCGTTTAGCGAGTGACGCGGTTGTGCTTTTGAACAATTTTCCATAATACTTATTTTTTGGCTTCTATGTGCAACATTGTGACTGCATGGCTGTGAGTTATAACCTCCTGAAGAATACAGCGACTTCAAAAGCTTTGCCGGTTTCCACTGACCGGAACGATTGTAACTAAGTGATTAGAGGACAAATGTTTCGTTGTGCAGATCATAGTTCGGGATAAAGGAACATTTAGTGAAATCAATCGAATCATCTACAAGCATGCAGCAGTACGTTGCACTTTGCAGTTGTGAAGCACACGCCAAACCGTGAGGTAGAATTATTTAGGTTATTCAACATCGCCTGCAATACGGGAGGCAAATACAAGGAGAGCTATGTCATATGCGCACTCAATATCTGTGAGCGGACGCTTCGGGAGAACTTCGACCCCGCAGGTATTAGAGATTGGTAGTGAGTCTTCGATAACTGTGTCAGCGGCGAAGTTGAAGAGGGAAAGTGAATGAGGACAACCTTGCCCAAAACCACTTGATGTGGTGAACTCATACAAGGACACCTTGTAGACCTTCGCCTGTCTGCGGGATTTGGTGTTCAGCGCCCTAAGGACGGCGAGTAATTTATGGAGGATATCTTTGCTCCACAGACACCAACATAGTACCTGACGTTCCACACAGTCGAAGGTAAATCTCAATTCAATGAAGACAAACATTGTTGGTTGCAAGAAGCAGTGTCGCTGTTCCAGAATCTGTCGAAGGGTGAAAATGTGATCGACACAGGGCGGACGCCAGCTTGGTCTTCACGGATCTCTTTCCCTGTGGTCAGTCAACCTTCAAAGAGAAAAGAGCCCCTTCGATGTCAGAGCTATAAAGCTGATTCCACGTTGGCTTTAACAGAACCTCCGCATAAACCTTTTGAAGATAAAAGTAACCGTCAAAATGTCCCATTCTGCAGACAATTTCTCTTCACTCCATATCGCACCAATAAGCTTTGTTAGATAGGTCACCAGTTATTATCCCTAGGAATAGGGCTGGATAAGACCTTTCGGTTCAGGTGGTTTCTCACGTTTCAGTACGGATATTTCGTGCCTTTCTTCTTCTCTCCCACGGGTAAATAAAGTTAACATTCCATTCGCTAGCATGCACCATCTCCAGAGGCTGTATTGCAGTAGGCAAGCTAAACTAGTTCTCGAAGTGTTCGGCTCATCATTCCAGTCAACGGTCTTGCGGATGAATTAATGGTCTGTCTTTTTAACTGACCGCTGCTCTCCTAAGAGCAGTAGATCTTACTTGCTGCCTGCTTGCATAGATTTTCTGGCATCATTCAAGACTAGCGATCTTAATGATACCCTGCGGTAATTTAGTTGCTTCAAAGAAGTTGGAAGAACATCAGGGAGCGCCACTTGCAAAGCTCTTTAGACATTTTGCCATGCTTCATGCACGTGCTTACCACCAGCTTAGTATTGGTTTACTGTGCAGAGTTGTTGGGCTAGCTCAGATCACTACTATCGAGATATGGTAGTTCTTTAAAGATAGTGGATTAGCATGTTTCCTGCTGAATTGCCAGGGCCCTAGTGAAACGAGCTGTCAGGCTTGCTTGCACCATGGCGTGGTCGGGATAAAATTGTGCACGAAGGAATGATAGTTTTGAGTTGTGCCTCTCCGCTGGTGGCTGATGACCACGTGATCCAAATTGGTCCACGGTTGATTTGCGGTTGGTGGCTGCAAGGTTATGCGATGCGCAAGTTTATCCGGAATGTTCGTACTCGACGGAAACAGTTCGTTATCAGCGTATGACTAGAGAAGTCTGTGCGACGAACATCGATTCCGAATCTACCGTTCAAATGTGATTCCAAGGAGCTCAGATTGACTTGAGTGTTCATGTCGCCCGTGGGCATAGAAATACCAAAGCTTCTTAGTTGACGGACGAGCCCAGATAACCATTGATAGAAAACATCTTCCCAGCTTCCGAACTGCAATCCGTTGCCGAATAAACTGACGCTATAAACAGGTACCGTTTCTTCTATAGAAAGGCATTAAGTTTGATTGGACTGTATAACCAGATGAAGCAATGAAGACTATCCACTGTGATCCAATCCAACAAAGCGCGTCCGGATCTGGGTCTGAGTGCGACTCCCATGCGATATATATCACGAGTCATCGCTTCTGGATCAGCGGACACACGAATAAAGAAATTTGAACGAGACGAGTTTGTCCTTGGCTTTCTGAGATGTGTAACCACGCCTGGGTTTTGTATGTGGGTTTCGAAGAGGGGACATTATTATATTTCAAAGGAGTATGAGATTTCAGCGAGCACTGCTTGTTTGCCAGTTTGACACAGAGTACGGAAAAGATTTCTTTGATTTAGCAAGCTGTCATTTTGTTTATTGTCATTAGGCGGCGGGAAGCATAAGGCCCATCGATCACAAAACTCAGTCAAATGTCCTAGCAACGTTTGCTTTTGTGGTGGCAAGGGGGTAGGTAGGTTTGCGTAGGACTTTGTAGGAAAATGTTGATTCCCGGTTGTTCGGGCTGAGGAAGATGGTTTGTACGTCTCTGACCCAAAAGTCTGACATTGAAGGCAGTGGAAGAGTTTAGGGATTTGTTCGGAAACCCTGCCCATGGCATCTGACCCAAAAGCCTGGTCCGTGAGGCAGGGGAAGTAGTGTTTTCTTCGAAGACCCTTCAAGGACCCGATGTCTCTTGACCTACTTGGCTGCAGGGGGTTGGCCTAACCCGAGGGCTCAGGGAATAAGGCATTAGTGTGTCGCTCCTAATGCGTCTGCGCACAATAGGTGCCTTAAAAAAATTTCGACTATACTGAATATTGTGCTGGCGGTGACGGTCAACGGTCGGGTATTCGGAGTATGTGTTTTTTGGGCCGAGCTTTTCTGATCTATCCCTTCACGGGGAAGGCAGCATCGCTGCTTTCATGTATATGGACATGTTAGTCGCCTAAGGGAAATGCCTTACTGCCTTCACATTCTTATTGCAGAGGACAGTACAACTTTACCCACCAGACCGCCTCGTAGCACGATTAATTGTAGTATTAGGTCTCGGTGCTCTTGATCAGACTGTCCCCTTTTGGCTTTCCCTGCATGGACGAAGTTGCA